ATCAAGCACGAGGGAATACAACCAGTCACAGCGCGACGATACCGACACAGTCTTGCACGCTTTTTCGAATTCATTTCTTCGCACAGGCGGCCGTGGCCGCGATCTCTGGACGAGTTGGACGAGGAAGTCGGGGAATACATCAACCACCTCTATTTGGACGACCTGCCACAGTATTGGGCCAGCGACCTGGTCAGCGCATTCAAGCGCCACTACCCGAAATGCCGGCGGCACTTGGGAACAGCTGAGGTTTACCTCAAAAACTGGGCCCGGGTTGCGGCCAGACGCCGGGCAATCCCAGCTACTCGTGACCTCGTCCTCAGCATGGCTGCGGCGGCGCTCATCGAGGGCAAGGTCCGGCTGGCGTTCTGCATCCTCCTCTCCTTCGTTGGCCTGCTTCGCGTCGGCGAGGTCGTTGGTGCCACCTCCCGGCAGTTCCGCCTCTATGGCGGCGGCTCGCTCCTCACGCTTGCACTACCAGACAGCAAAGGCGCGAAACGAAGCGGGGCGTCTGAGCAGGTCACGTTTTACGACCCCCTGGTTCTCAAGCTTGCGGGCGCGATCCTCCAGGACACCGGGCACGACGAGAAAATCATGGATCTGGGCTACGCCGGCTTCGCGGCAGAGATCGCCAGGTTGGGCCGGATGTTTGGGATGAGCTCACCTCGTTTCACGCCGTACTGCTTGAGGCGAGGCGGCGCCACCTGGCACTTTACCCGGTTCACGAGCTACGACGCGACGCAGCACCTCGGCCGGTGGACGCAGGCCAAGACTGCCAGGCAGTACATCGACCAAGCGACGGCGGAGGCGACGGAGATGAGATTACCGGATTGGGGCCTCAAGCGCATCAGCCTCGCGGTGAAGTGCATCGGCCAGCTGGTGGACGAGGCAGTTGCGAAGCACCCCCGTTCGCAGTCAAGCGGCGCCGCCGGATTTCGGCCACGTTCGTAGGAGAGCTCTGTTCATGCACGCGGTGACAATGGGCGGAAATCCGGGCAGTTATCCAGAGAAATTCATCTTCACACATCCCACGTTTCATTCATTATGCATGTTATTACGCCTTGCCTCTTACGGTGAGGTGGTCTGGGGCCGGTGCGTGCTGCTTTGGAGGGACACGCTGCTCGAGCTAACGTGGAGCCCGTGAGCAAAGTTGGAGCCTGTTCCGCTTTCAGACTTGGTTGGGGAATGTTGGTCGGCAGTGCGGCACATGTTGTCTCCCTGTCGAGGGTCACATGTTGATCCAGGGGCCCGCCTGGAGGACCTGCTCTTCCAGGCGGGCGGGGCACCTGCTGTCCCTGGGGGAAGGTGCGCACACGTGTGCTCTTGAGCGCACGCGTGCCTTGACTCTGGAAGGCTCGCACTCCTGAGTGTTTTGGGCCGGATCGACCTCTTGAGGCATCCTGCTTTGCAGACTCTGGCCGACGCGGCCGCAGCAAGGCATCCAGGCACGTGCTGCCTGGGTGTCCACCCTCTTGAGGGCGGGCTTGCTGCCACGAAGCTTACGCATGTCATCGACGCCGTGCTCGTGAGCTCGGCTCTGGCGCGCTCCGTGCACGCACGCACTGAGACGCACACGCGGGCGGTGGAGAAATAAAAACAATATGACCTGGCCGGAGGCCGGAAGCTTTTTTCGCTTCCACGCGCGCGCACGCACCGGCGGGCTAGCAGACGGGTCCGTTGCCAATTTTGGCTTCCTCCTCCCTCCCCTTCCTCCTGATAGCTCCTGAGCGTCGGGTGGTCGAGGTCGGCAGTGCGGCACATGTTGTCTCCCTGTCGAGGGTCACATGTTGATCCAGGGGCCCGCCTGGAGGACCTGCTCTTCCAGGCGGGCGGGGCACCTGCTGTCCCTGGGGGAAGGTGCGCACACGTGTGCTCTTGAGCGCACGCGTGCCTTGACTCCGGAAGGCTCGCACTCCTGAGTGTTTTGGGCCGGATCGACCTCTTGAGGCATCCTGCTTTGCAGACTCTGGCCGACGCGGCCGCAGCAAGGCATCCAGGCACGTGCTGCCTGGGTGTCCACCCTCTTGAGGGCGGGCTTGCTGCCACGAAGCTTACGCATGTCATCGACGCCGTGCTCGTGAGCTCGGCTCTGGCGCGCTCCGTGCACGCACGCACTGAGACGCACACGCGGGCGGTGGAGAAATAGAAACAATATTATATTATATTATATATATGTATATATGTACATATATACATATACATGCACCTATTCACCAGGGGGCCCTGGTGCTGCGGCATGCATACAAACATACATACACCTATTCACTCAGACACGCATACATATACACAGATGTACATACATACATACACACAGACACTCATCTGCACATACACACCTATATATATATATATATGTATATATATACATATACACATACATATATACACATAGCCGTACATGCTTAGTGAGTACAATTGCACATAGAAAATTGCCCGGGGAGCGTGATTCTGGAACGCCCTAGGCGGGCCCAAGACGGCCCCAGATGGCCCCAAGACGTCCCCGGAGAGCCCGAGAGGCTTCAGGAGGCTAGGGAAGCAGAGACGGGGTAGCAGCAGACGGGGGGACAAGAAACGGCCGGTTCGAGGCAAGAAATGCGGACTTTGTTTCAGTGCAGTTGTTTTGGCTTTCGCGTGCAATGCAGCACCTGGCACATGTTGTCTGCGTTGGAATGGTTCGGCAGCTGCACTGCAACGTCTTGTTGTGGGCCCTCTGTTACTCGGTCTGCGAGGCTTGTTTACAGCTTGTCCGCAATACGTTGCAGAAAACAGGCAGTGCAGTTCCCCGTTGCAGAACATTTACCATGCAAGTTTGTTCCGGCCGCTGCAGTTTCTCCATATTGATCCCAGGGTGAGTCCGTTACCCCGTTTAGTCTTCCTTGAGGAGGGCGCGACGAGCGCCACCCACCAGATGGCCACGATGGGCCCTTGATGGCTCAAGATGGGCCCAAGATGGCCATTCGACGGCCCAACGGGCTCCCCAGATGGCCCATGGGGGCTTGAAAACTACTCCCCAAAGGCCCAGGGTTGCTCAGGATGCACGAATTATAGGGTTGCTCAGGTGTCGGTGCAATTGTCGCATCGTCGGCTTTTCGGTTTCCAGAGCGCCTGCGACGGCCGAAGAGGCCCCCGAGATCATTCAAGGTGGCCTCATAGGCGCCCAAAACAGCCCCAAGGCGCTCCAAGAGAGCCCCGAAGAGGCTCCAGACGGCCCAAGAGGGCCCCAAGACAGCCCACCAAGACAGCTCAATTGGGTCCCCAGGCGCCCCAGAACAGCCCCAGGAGGCCCCCAAGGTTGCCCTGAGGAACCAGGACGGCACCAAAGGGTCCCAAGTCGGCCCAGGAGCCCCCCCAGGCGGCTTGAAAACGGCCTCAGGAGACCCCGAAGGGGGCCCACTCGGGACCATGCATTAGCACAGCGACGGCCACACAAGAATTTGTGTGTATACGCATATATATATATAGAGAGAGATTTGTATGTATGTATGTATGTATGTATGTATGTATGTATGTATGTATGTATGTACGTACGTACGTACGTACGTACGTACGTACGTACGTATGTACGTATGTACGTATGTACGTATGTACGTATGTACGTATGTACGTATGTACGTCTGTACGTCTGTACGTCTGTACGTACGTACGTACGTACGTACGTACGTACGTATGTATGTATGTATGTATGTATGTATGTATGTATGTATGTATGTATGTATGTATGTATGTATGTATGTAATGTAATGTAATGTAATGTAATGTATGTATGTATGTATATATGTATGTATGTGTGTGTGTATGTATGTATGTATGTATGTATGTGTGTATATGTATGTATGTATGTATGTATGTATGTTTGTATGTATGTATGTATGTATGTATGCATGCATGTATGTATGTATGTATGTATGTATGTATGTATGTATGTATGTATGTATGTATGTATATATGGGTGTGTGTGTATGTATGTATGTATGTATGTATGTATGTATGTATGTATGTATGCATGCATGCATGCATGCATGCATGCATGCATGCATGCATGCAGGCAGGCAGGCAGGCAGGGAGGTAGGTAGGTAGGTAGGTAGGTAGGTAGGTAGGTAGGTAGGTAGGTAGGTAGGTAGGTTAGTGTGTAGATATATGTGAATATGGGTGTGTATATGTATATGTTTATGCATATGTAAATGTGTATGTATATGCACACGCACACGTATACATATACCATCTGTGTGTATACATATATACATACAGATTCCCGCGCAAGAGGCCTGGGCGCCCGAGGCCGGGACCTGGAGCGCGCATGGGGGACCGGGGCCTCCGAGACCGCTCCCACAGCACCCCGGAGGGGCCGTTGAGCCTCCAGACTGCCCCAGAGAGCTTCAAGAGGCTCCAAGAAGCCCCCGGAGGACTTCGACCAGCCCCTCCAAGGCAGCCCAGATAGCCCCAACGTGGCCCAAGATGGGCTCCAGATCGCAAATGCACAGCCCAAGAGGCCTCCAAGAGGCCTCAAGAGAGTTCCGAGAGGCGTCCCGAGAGAGCCCGAAGAGGCCCAAATCCTTGATTTCCATTGGGTTATTCTATGCTTTTCGGTGTCTCGCGCCTTCGAGCTTCCGACGCTCCACGACGGCCGACGACGCCCCCAAGACCGGCCCAAGACTGAAGAAGAGGACCCCAACAGAGCCCCAAGACGGCCCCAGGGAGCCGCCCGGGAGGAGCCTCAGACGGCCCAAAAGAACCCCAGGACAGGCCCAAGCTGGGCCACAGAGCCAGATGGCCCCAACGTGGCCCCAGATGGGCCCAACACCGCCAATCACAGCCCAAGGGCCCTCCAGGGGGGCCCAAGAGAGCTCCGAGAGACGTCCCAAGAGAGCCCGAAGAGGCCCCGCCGTAGCCATTTTGGCTCGAACCGTTCTGGTCCAGGGGCACAGGCCGGTCTGGCGACAGCCCGCACTCTTGCACTGGCGGTATCTTAGGTCGGACCAGAAAAATCAAAGGGGCCCACTGCGATGCACCCGCGACTGTTTCGGCAGCGGCTGCTCGAGCTTGCCGCGGAGTGCGAGGGTCTCCACGCGGCGGCCACCGTATCGTTCGCCGAGGTGCCTGCGGTGCCGCGCAAGTCATCCGAGGGCGAGGCGGCGACGAGCCAGAGCGGTGACGGCGAGGGCGCCCCGCCCGGCGCCAGGAGCGCGCTGCCGCCGAACAGGGGGGTTTCTGGTGCAGGTTCGGGGCCCCCCCGGACAGCTGGCGAGGCGCCCCGACGAGAGCTCGGTGCCGCTCCGTCCGACGCCGGGGTCGGGGCGCAGCGCGAGCCCGCGGGGCAGCTTGCGGCGCACCCCGACGATGACGGGAGCGCGGCGCGGATTCCGAGGAAGCACGCGAGGTTGTCCGGGGGGAGCTGCTCCATTGGAAGTCCAGCGCCGAGCAGCCACATGCCGAAGACCAATGATGGGAGTTCCGTTCCGGACGCCGTAGAGCCGAGGAGGAGCTCGAGAAGGGAGAGTGGGGAGTCCAGGAGAGAAAGTAATGATTATTTTGCCACAGCGATCTCCGCGGCAGTCGCCTCCGCCGGCGCAGTTGTCCGCACTGCCTAAGACGCGACACGGAGCAGCCACACGACAGGTCCAGTTATTTGAGTTGATTGTCTTTGAAGGAAACGATGAAGTTCAGTAAGGATGTGAAAATGTCGACGGCAAGGAAGTCCTCTCGCCGGTCGACTACTGTAGATTTGCAGAAATTGCAGAAGCAGCCTTTGGCCGATTTTGTGAAGAGTCGCTACTTTGCTGTGGGTTCCGCACTTGTGATCATCATGAGCACCGTGTTGATTGGCATTGAGACCCAGATTTTTTCTAGCCTGTCCCACCAGAGGTCAGACTCGCAGCACATCGCGATGGCCCTATCGGCAGCGAATTACTTACTCACTTTGGTGTTCGCGGTGGAGGTGCTGATGCGAATATACGTGCTAGGAATCATGCACCCAGGCGACAGGGTGTGGAACTGCTCCGACATTGCAATCCTGCTCCTGGCGCTGGCCGAGATCGCTCTGGAGCTTGTGGTGCTCGCGATCTTGGGCAAGGATCATAACCTCTGCGATGGCGGTGGGATGGCGAAGATGGTGCGCCTGTTTCGCCTTACTCGGCTTCTCCGAATCATCCTGACGTTTCGCCAGTTGAAGCCGCTGCGTGTGTTGGTGCATTCCATAGCATCCGCTGGCAAGTCCGTGTTCTGGGCCCTCATGCTTCTCTTCATGATCATATTCTCCTTTGGAGTGATCTTGACTCAGGCTGTGTCTGAGCATACCGAAGGCGGCACGCGAGTCGATGACGATGATCTAGTTTCGTACTACAGAGACCTCTTACGGTCAATGCTCAGTCTTATGATGGTTGTGTCCGGGGGTATCAGCTGGCATGAGCTAGCAGCGCCGCTGCAGGGAACTGGGAACATTGGGTGGTTGATCCTATTTCTGGTTTACATTACATTCGTGTACTTCTTTGTGCTGAACGTTGTGACAGGTGTGTTCTGCCAGAATGCGATCGAAGGGGCTCAACAGGATCTGGATCTTACCATTGAGGCGCAGCTCAGGGAGAAGCAGGTATACGCGGACCGCCTCAAGTTGCTTTTCGAGGAGATGAACCAGGATTGCGATCCTGAAGATGGGCTGACTGCGGCCGATATAAACGAGCAGATGGAGAAGCCCAAAGTGCAGTCGTTTTCAAGGCCTTGGACATTGACGCAAAGCAGACGTGGAAGCTGTTCAAGGTTCTGGACTCCGCCAACTCTGGCGCCATCTCCCTCCAGGACTTCGTCGAAGGGTGCCTGCAGATGAAGGGGTCGGCTACGCGCGTTGACGTGGAGTCGTTGAAATGGGAGATCAGAGCCGCAAACAAGCGCGCGGTGCTCACTGCCGACAGGATTGCTGAGCGTATGGAGCAGATCTCCGCATCGGGGGCCTCAGCTTGCGCAGCCTGCGGCGGGTCAGTCACCAGGTGAACATTGGGTGCCAGCTTTGTCTCTATCTGGAGCACCAGGTCATGCTGCGGGTGATGCATTCCCAGATGTTCTAGATGGCCTGATCTTCCGCGCGGGCTCCAGGAGGCGAGGGCCGCCAGATGCCGCCACGCCGTGGCATGGCATTGTATCGCCCTTTTCCTACAGCCAAAACTCACAGTAAGGACGCACGGATGCCCTTAGGGTTCTTTTTGCGTCCTTTCTTCTGCGGCCCGTCTTTCGCGGTTCTCCCAGGCCAGCCTTTCAGGGCGGTGGCAGTCCGCCGCCCAAAAGGTGCCAATTTCGACGCTGAAGGCCGTTGCATCCTTGCCGCCCACCCTTACTATCGATCTCGACCGAACAATACGCTCCTTTCTCGCTCGGTCGGGCCCCTCTGCTCGCAGGGAGTGCCTCGAGCCGTCTGCAGCGAACAGGCTCCTGTGCCCCAGCGCCGCAGTCAGCTCAGTGGAACTGCTCGCTCGTGGCTCAAGAGGGCCTGAGGGCACTCCACTCATTGCCTACGGCACGCTTGCGGAGTATGCCCCAGTTCTTTAGCCTCACACGCGAAAACAATCTCAAGCCCAAGCCGAAGCAGCCACACGCAAAGGTAAGCCAGAGAGGGCTACCTTAAGTTTTTGTCAGTGCTTGATCTTCAGCTGGTCAGGCACCCCCGTCTTGGCTGCCTGACGCCCCGCGGTGCGCTGCGCGGCCAATGACCTTCTCCTTGGAGGGCTCGCTTCCTGCCGACAACGCCAAGGCTCGATGTGGCCTGGGCGTTCCGTCTTGACTCGGGACGCCCCCCTCCCCGCATGCCCGAGAGGCAGGAGCAGCCCTTGCAGGAGGAGGAGGACGAGGAGGAGGAGGAGGAGGAGGAGCTAAGCCGGGCGACTTGCTCTGCAGCGGCCTGTAGCCTATACTGTTTCACCCTCGTGCCCCAGATCGCGCAAGAGCGCGACCACCCACCACAAAGGGAAGGGCGAGGTGGTTTGGCGCTCCGCAGAAGGCAATCCAGGCCATGTTGCCGCCTTTGCGAGGGGCTCCGGCCGCTGCGGGCACCTTCTCCTAGTCCTCCCAGATGGGGTCAGCGTACATGGCGTTGGGGGATCGCGCCGCATCGCCGATGCATCGGCGGTGCGTCTCGATGGGGAGCCCGATCTTCTCCGTGCCGACGTCGCCGATGCGGCGCGATCATTCGACCCCCCACCTGTTCGGCAATGCCGCTGCGGGCACCTTCTGCCGAAAGGCTCCCTCCGCCCAGAGCATTCTCCTGCTCCTTTCCATCCTACATCCTCCTGCTTCTCCCCGAGCTGACGGTCGGCGCCCGCGGCTCGGCGACTTGCCCGGTCGGCGCCATTCGCTCGGATGCGGCGGACATTGACAGCGGCATGTAGATGCGAGGGCAGAAGCCGAACGCCGCCACATTAACAGGAGCAGGCACGGTCGACGCCCTTTCTACAGGGGCCATCGGGCGTCCACGCTGTTAGTACAGTCTTGCATTGGCCGTTGCAAAGCATATTGCCATCGGCGCCAAAGTTTTCAACTCATCGCACAAGCCTCAGGTTCAGGTCGAGTTCACTATAGTCACGTTCGCTGCCCCTCGGCGCGTGGCTGAATCATGTCTGGCTCACGCAAGCTATAATGTGAACCAGAGGCTTGGGCAAACGCTTTGTTGCTTGTGGAGCGTGGACAAAGAATTGTCCTGGGAGCGTCCCGCATATTCGGTTGGCGCTTTGCATTTCTATAGTGTAAGTATTACTCCAGCGGGTGACAGGTCGGGAACCGCAAGATGAGCTGTCCTTGACCGCCGCGTCATGGTGAACCTTGTGACTATGGCAGACGATATGCCTGGTCACGCAGTCTGGCTGGTATGCACCCGGAGACTGGCGTACCCTTTGACACGGAGAGTTGGTTGGATAGTCGGTGAGTTCGTGTGTTTCAGATCTGGTTTGCCATGTTGTAGAAGCTTCGTAATTGCAGGTAGTGTTTTGTTCGCCCCATTCCCCGCGTAGTGCAAGCTGCTCGGCAGAGAGGATTGCTTGGGGTTTGCGTGGGTTGGCGTGGTCGAGTGCAACAAAAAAAGAGTCCGAAGAGGCCCATGTCCTTGATTTCTGGTGGTTGTTTTTCAATGCTTTTCGCTTTCTTTCGTTCTCTAGCATCCAACGCTCCAAGACGGCCGAAGACGCCCCGCAGATCGCCCCAAGACCGCCGAAGAGGCCCCGAAAAGAACCCCAAGACGGCCCAGGAGAGCCTGAAGACTGCCCAAGAGCAGCCCAGGACTGCCCAAGAGAACCCCAGGATTGGCACAAGATGGGCCCCAGAGTGGGAGCGGGAGGCCCGAAGGCGCTCCAGGACGGCCCAGATGATCCCAACTTGGCCCCAGAGGAGTTCAAGACGGCAAACACAGCCCAAGAGCCCTCCAAGAGCCCCCAAGAGAGCTCCGAGACGTCCGGAGAGAGCCCGAAGAGGCCCAAATCATAGATTTGCATTGTTTTGTTCGATATTGTTCGCTTTCTCGCTTTCTCGAGCTTCCAATGCTCGAAGACGGCCGAAGACGCCCCCAAAACCGCCCCAAGACCGCCGAAGACGCCCCCCAAAAAGAGCCCCAAGACGGCTCCAGAGAGCCTGCAAATTGGCCACGGGGAGCCCCTGACGGCCCAAGGGGCTCCAGGACAGGCCCAAGATGGGCCACAGAGCGGGAGCAGGAGGCCCCAGGGCGCTCGAAGACGGCCCAGATGGCCCGGGCCTCCCCCCTCCGTCCTTCCTTCCCTGCCGCACCCGCCCCTCGTTTCCATGCCCTCCTCTCTCCCCTTCCTCCCCTCACCCCTCTGCTTTCGCGCTCCTCCCGCCTCTCCTGCGACGCCCCCGCCAGAGCGCCAGACAGGCCCAGCCAGAGCGAGCGGGGCATCGCTATACCGTATCATTTCACAAGTTGTTTTGCCCCTCCCACCCTTCAAAGGCGGCCCCGGCACAGCGAGAGGGGTGTTGCTATACCATATGCAGTCCCTGTTTTGCTTTGCTCCCCCAGCCACACTCGAGGTAACCCCGTCAGAGCGCACGGGGTGTGGCTATTCCGCATTCTTCCTCAGGTTTCGTGTTCCTCCCTCCCCTCCTCGGCGAGCCCCGCCAGAGTGCCAGGGAACCCCCCGCCATAGAGAGCAAGGCCCCCCTACACCTTATTATTTCACACGATATTTGCTCCTCCTACCCTTGCAGGGCGGACCCGCCCGAGCGAGCGGGGTGCGGCTATACTATGCAATTTTAAGCTTTCGTACCCCTCTCCCACCTCCTGAAAAAAAAAAAGGCCTCGGCAGAGCGCCAAGAAGGTACCGCCAGAGGCCCCGTCAGAATTCCAGGCAGCCACATACATGGGACTTGCCAGGGAAATCCTTGAGCATCCCCCGCGAACCCGGACCATCTGTTCCCACGGATGTGGTTGTCGCCGGCATGACGTTTGGCGTCCAGCACAAAGAAGCTTCCCTTTTCCCATGGACGGACTCGACAACAGTTGTTTGCAGAAAAGGGCACCGATGACCAGGACAGATTCGCGCGCCCTCTGCAGATACCCGACAGCTGAACGACCGCTGAAAAAAACCATAAACCCGGAGCGCAAGGGAGAGGCAACATTTCTTTGGCGGAGGACCCAACCATATGCAGTTGTGAGTATCGCAGTTGTGAATATCGTCTTCGGTGGAGCGCCCGATGAGGCCACGAACCGTGTGATGGGTGTGCCGAAATGGGGCGGGGCTGCCACACGAACCCTACCACTGGCGCCCCCGGTGGAGCTCCCTATGGGGCCGCGATCCCTGGGAGGGATGCGCCGACATGGGGCGGGGCCGCCATGCGAACCCTGCCAATGGGGCCTTCGGTGGAGCTCCCAACGGGGCCACGATCATCGTGAGGGGTCGGCGCCGAAATGGGGAGGGGCCGCCACGCGAACCCTGCCATTGGGGCCTTCGGTGGAGTTCCCTCAGGCGCCACGATTCTCGTGAAGGAGCGCCGAAATAGGGCGGGCCCGCCGTGCGAACTTTGCCACTGGCGCCTTCGGTGGAACTCTTATGGGGCCACGATCGTCGTGAAGGGTGTGCCGAAATGGCTCGGGGCCGCCATGCGAACCTTGCCACTGGGGCACTCTGTCGGCCTCCTTATAGGGCCACGATCGTCGTGAGGAATGCGCCGAAGTGGCCCCGAGGCCGCCACCCTGCCACGGGCGCCTTCGGTGGATTCCCTCATGAAGCCCCGATCCTCGGGAGGGGAGTGCCGAAATGGCCCGAGGCCGCCATGCGAACCTTGCTACTGGCGCCGTCGGTGGAGCTCTTCTGGGGCCACGATCCTCGTGAGGGGTGCGCCGACATGCATGACTCGAGGCCGCCATGCGAACCTTGCCACTGGGGCCTTTGGTGGAGTTCCCTATGGGGCCACGATATTCGTGAGTGTTTTTTTTCCGAAATGGTCCGGGGCCGCCATGCGAAGCTTGCCACTGGGGCCTTCGGTGGGGCTCCAATGGGGCCAGGATCCTCGTGAGGGTGCGCCAAAATGAGGCGGGGCCGCCATGCGAACCCTGCCACTGGGGCCGTCGGCGGAACCCGCCTTTATGGGGTCACGAAGCGCTCTGCAGGGTGCGCCGAAACAGAGACATGCGGAGGGCAATGGCAAGGAAATGATGATGGCGATGATGGAGATGATGACGATGATGGCGATGATGACGACGACGATGGCGGCAATGATGATGATGATGATGATGATGATGATGATGATGATGATGATGATGATGATGATGATGATGATGATGATGATGATGATGATGATGATGATGATGGCGATGATGATGATCAGGATGGT